GAAAAAAAAAAAAAAAAAAAAAAAAACTTTTCTTTTGACATTCCTTCTTTTGTCAATGCTTTTTTATTCCCTTTTTACCCTCTAGTTTTTTGTTTCTTTTTCTTTTATTATTTTGTAAAAATTGTACATTTTTTACAATCATCTTTTTAATTTTAATTTTTTTTTTTCAAATTGTCATTATTTTCGCATATCTAACGACAATATTTATAACTATAAAAAAATAATAATTTTAAAAGTAAAGAAAAATCCACTAGAATGAGGTACTTATCCTTGGTTGTAGGGTCTATTCTTGTAAATAAAAGGAATTTCCGAGGGGAGGAAAATGAAATACGGTGAGGAAATGAGGGACTAGAATGCAATTAATGTAACATTCCGGTAGAAGGCAAGTTAGAAAGGTTAACGGTTAGAGGAGGGAAAGAGGGGAAGGCAGAATTCTGACGGCGTCACGACCCTCGAGAAGAAAAGGACAGGAGACAACGCTGACCGTCAAACGACGGCGTTTCAGTCGTTGTTTGTCGGGTTGTCGGCATCACACCCCCCAGTTTTCCCTTCCTTCGTTTTATTCACTTCTGTCCTTTTCCACAAAATCCCCTCCCCCCTTCTTTTCGGGTAATGCTGTAACGACGTCGTTTCTTTTTGAGTAATATTAATTTACTTATTTATTATTTATCATCTCACCGTCAAAAGCATTCTGTTATATTGATTTTATTCGGATTATTAAGCTAAATAAATTAAATTAATTAGGAGATAGCAAAAAGAAAAAAGAAAAGTGGGTCCCGCCGTCAGACACATTGGCAGTTAAATTTGTATGACTCCGAACTTTGACCGCTGACTGCCACCTCACCAAATTGTATTTATTTATTTATTTATTTGAAAACTATGTAAATCAGTATATATTTAATTAAATTATTAAATTAAAAAAATTCGGTTGAAAAATAAAATTACATAATCAATCACGTCGAACAGAAGCACGCGCTGTAGGAAAAAAAGGAAAAAAAGAAAAAAGAAAAAAGAAAAGGCAATGTCGGAGTCCGTACATTCAATTCACAGTATGAGAGCACCATAAAACCACAGAATCAGCAGCACTCACAGAGAATCAAAACCAGACAGGAAAAAAAGATTTAAGCAAGCAATGGAAATGGAATTAGCGAACCCGTACGAGGTGGTCCGGCAGCTGGCGGAGTGCAATGCGGTGGTTGTGTTCAGCATCAGCGGTTGCTGCATGTGCACCGTCGTCAAGCGTCTCCTCTTCGGCCTCGGCGTCGGCCCCACCGTCGTCGAACTCGACCACCTCTCCCATCCTTCCGCCGACGACATTCAAGCCGTCCTCCACCACCTCCTCCCCCACCAGCCCCACCCCATCCCCGCCGTGTTCGTCGGCGGCAAGTTCCTCGGCGGCCTCGACACCCTCATGTCTTCTCACATCAATGGCTCCCTCGTCCCACTCCTGAAGCAAGCCGGCGCTCTCTGGCTCTGATATCACTTTTCTCCTAAAAATTATCTCTACCGTTTATCTTAATTTCGTGGTTCAGTTCTAAATGTTATATAGTTTATTAAGGGGAAAATTTGAAAAGGGTATTTATGTCTTTTTGTTCTCATCTTCAAACTGCATGCCTATGTGAAGAACACAATGGAGGTATTTTGGGATCTCTGAGTATCATTGGAGAATGATATGATTGGCCCAATTTTTAGAATTATTTATTATTTTATTTTATTTTATTTTCTTCAATTTTACCCATAGTTTTTTTTTTTTTTTTTGATCACTACGTTCATGTTCATAAAAAATAATAACAAAAATCTATATGTGGAAATAAAGGGTTGAAAATGCAATTTAGAATAAATAAAATTATAAAAACAATCCTGTCTTATTAAAAAAAAATCATTAATTATTTTTAAAATTTTATTTTTTAAGCATAAAATGATATTTGATCGAATTTAGAAAAGTCAGTGGTTGAAATTTAATATGGAGATGTAAAATTGATTGAATAATGAATTTGGTTTGCATTTATTAAGCATTATGAATTAAATAAATATTAAATTCCAATTTACTGAAGATCAATAATTTAAAAGTAAAACAGAAGTTGGGGGAATTGCAATTTGGAAGACGATCAATTTTCAGTGCCTCTCTTTCTCTTTGAATTTCTTGGCCAAGTCTTCGCGTAGCGCCGACAAGATCTTTCTACTTTTTTCCTCCCATTTTCCGGCCGCCGGAGACAGGATCTCTTTGAATATAGTCGCCGGAAGTGATAGTTGGGGTAATGGGTCCGAGATGCAGATGGGGTTTGATGATGGGCGGTGCTCTTGTCGCCGTTTTTCTTGCGGTGGCTATGACTTCCCGGACCGCTCCTATGATTTCGCTCTTTGGCCGCACCAATAAGCCCTGTCGTTGTGGTGATGTACGTTTTCAGAACCTTAATTGTCTCTATGATTGTGTTGATGTATGTTGAAGCTTAGCATTTCACTGCATTTCTTCAAGTTGTCTTTGATTTGAAGTATCGTTCTCTCTTGTGCTGCTGAAATTGGGAGTTAGATGAATCAGGATGATCTGGAATTTTTGCTTTGTTGATGTTTTATGCAATATTAGGTTTCTGTGCTTTGAATTGTGGAATTGATATCTTCCATCTTCCATTAATGGAAACGAGATTTCTTCCATTTAACTTGTTTGATTCTTAATGCACAGGATACTCCCAAGTACAGTGGTATGGTGGAGGGTTGTTGTTGTGATTATGAGACTGTAGATCGACTAAATGAGGAAGTTTTGTATCCGTCCCTTCAAGAGCTTGTTAGAACTCCATTCTTTCGCTATTTCAAGGTGAGCTTAAATTTAATTGGATGATTTTGATGAACTGATATTATACCATAACTTGTTATATTTTGGATCTAAACGCCAATTTGAAAGAAACCCTTGTGCACTATATGGCTGTAATTTCTAAGTCTATAAGAACTTGACAGGACACGAGAAAATTTTGGAATCGAAAAGCAATGTGATGTAAAGCCTGTTCTGTTTAATACATTTGCGTTGTGTAATTGTAGTATACTTGTATCGGTTGTTTTGTTATACACATTGAGCTTACTAACATGGCTACTGCCAATGCATGATCATCATTTTCACAGGTTAAGTTGTGGTGTGATTGTCCCTTCTGGCCTGACGATGGTATGTGCCGATTGCGAGATTGTAGTGTTTGTGAATGCCCAGATAATGAGTTCCCTGAATCTTTTAAAAAGCCCCGTATCCTTTCATCCGAGGCCTTTGTTTGTCAAGAGGGAAAGCCCCAAGCTACTGTGGATCGTACGGTAGATCGTAAAGCTTTCAAAGGGTGGACTGAAGTAGACAACCCCTGGACCAATGATGATGAGACTGATGATGGTGTGTTATATTAAATACAACGGTTTAGTAAGAACATTGGTTATTCTGTTGTCGGGTTGCTTATTTGTTTCCATTTGATTTGTTTTTACCAGCTGAGATGACATATGTAAACCTTCAACTGAACCCTGAACGCTACACCGGATACACTGGTCCATCTGCTAGAAGGATTTGGGATGCTGTCTATTCAGAAAACTGCCCAAAATGTAACATCTCGCTCTCGGTCTCTTTGTTTCTCCACCTCTCTAAGTGCATAGTAATTTATGTATATCTATTATTCACTCTCAACATACATTTATGAACAAATGAACACAGAGTAGAGATATGTGGGCTAAGATTCCTGGAACCATTGTTAACTGATAACTCAGCGTAGCAGAACAGCTGGTTAAAAGTACTGCACAATGATCTCTATTTTCCATGTTTGAGTAGCAATTTTCAGTCATGGTCACCAATTAAAACGTCTGCGGCTCTCTCAAGAATTAGTGATAAAATGTGTTCATTTGATTCCTTATGGGACTTATGATCTGTTTTGGATGCTCAAACTTGATGTTATATTTGCTGCATATCCTGTTGCTCTCATATTAAAGATAAAATGTTAGCATTTATTGTATGTTGTAGGTACATCATGAACATCTTCTTTATTCCATGAATCATGTCTTGATATTTTGCCAGATCCATCAGAAGAGTTATGCCAGGAGGAAAGAATATTATACAAATTGATATCTGGTCTACATTCCTCTATTTCGATCCACATAGCTGCAGATTATCTGATTGATGAGTCTAAAAATTTGGTACAGTTTCTATTTCATCAAACTTCCCAAATGCCTTGGTTATAGTCTAAAATATTTTCTTCCCTTGCAGTGGGGTCAAAATCTTTCTTTGCTGTATGATCGTGTCCTGAGATATCCAGATCGTGTAAGAAACTTGTACTTCACGTATCTCTTCGTTCTCCGAGCTGTGACAAAAGTGAGTAGAAGCATGGCCCTAACAACGATAGGTCTTTCTTAATGGTTATTTGATGGTATTGTTTGTGTTTATGCTTAATATATCCACTTTGGGGTGCATTCTTGTTGCAATTACATCTAGGCCACGGAGTATCTAGAGCATGCCGAATACGATACTGGTAACGTAAATGAAGACCTGAAGACACAATCCTTGATGAAACAGCTGCTTTTCAATTCTAAATTACAAGCTGCTTGCCCACTTCCATTTGATGAAGCCAAGTTATGGAAAGGTCATAAAGGACCAAAATTGAAGCAGCAAATACAAAAACAATTCAGAAACATCAGGTGGTTCTTTTAGGCCACACCCTTTTTCTTTTGATCATTTGATGAAATATTATGTAAGTAGTAACTGTAACTCTCTTCTTGTATGTCATGCAGCGCGCTGATGGATTGTGTCGGATGTGAGAAATGTCGACTTTGGGGGAAGCTTCAGGTTCTTGGGCTCGGTACTGCATTGAAGATCCTCTTCTCTGGTGATGATCATCAAGAACACTCGAGTCTGGATGTAAGTAATTCTGAATTATGAACCTCAATATCTTCGATTGATTGTTTGTTGGGGAGACATTTCTGGACTTATGATTCTTCATGTCCAAGTATTCATTATAAGCACTTAAAAGTCACATTTGAACTTGGAACTTAGTGTGACAAAACAAAGTAGATTCATGGCATATTCGAACTTATCTCGAGTAGTCTTTTGAATTTCTGGATGAATCATCTTACGTATCTGACCTAATTCGTTTCCGTGGGTTACAGTTGCAAAGGAATGAAGTAATTGCCCTCATGAACCTACTCAATCGGCTATCGGAATCAGTCAAATTCGTCCATGAAGTCGGTCCATCAGCTGAAACTACAATGGAAGGACAAATTGCTGCTCCCGTCACAGAAAGTTGCCCATTTCATAGAATGTGGGCATCCATATTCAATAGCTAGCCCAAACATTTATTATAGGTTAAATCTTTGTAACTGAGGAAACTGTTAAAATTATGTACCATACAGCCATGAATAACTATAGCAGAGAGAGTTTTTTGTGATCCCTACAATAGTTGTAGTTACAAAAACATTGGAGAAACTAAATCTGGTAAGCCATGAGAGATACAATTGTTGTAAAACGGACAAGAACCTGCTTTGCCATGTTCATATAGTGCCCTTGTTCCTTGAACTGTTTAATACATATGCGTCGTGTATTGTAAGAGATACAATTGTTGTACAGTTCATCGATCGGTGGTTCACCATGAAATCAACAGGTCAAACAAATGCTAAATGCAATATATAGCAGCGGAAATGAAGTCTATAATTCAAAGGTTGCGAACAAATAAACTATGTTAAACTGTTTTGGGTATGTAGTAGTCATATTGTCGCACAGAAAATGATGAATACATACAGGACGCAAATATTGTATATACTTCACTGTTTTCACAACTGAATAGAGTATCAGCCCATTTAGATCAGACGACCAATTTTGTGCATGAGCAGCTTCCCTTGCTGACGGAAGAACCGTCAGATGCCCAAGTCAGAGTGAAAACAGTNAAAAATCTTTATTGCCTTCTGCAAAAAAAAAAAAAAAAAAAAAAAAAAAAAAAAAAAAAAAAAAAAAAAAAAAGGATATTCAGACATGGTAGTATTTATAAATTTAATATTAGAAATGCAAAAGTCAAAACCGAAATGGTTATCAAACGGGGTCTAAACATTCTACCAAAATTTTAAAAACCAAATATTATATGGTGCAAGTCGGCCTGAATACCACAGTTGTTCGTTTCTAAATGAGAAAAAAAAAAAAAAAATGATTCCCCATGAGACTAAAAGCTAGAAAAAAAAAAAAAAAAAAAACTTAGAAGATGATGATCTAAGCAAATCCTAAAATGCTATTGAACACATCATTACCTAGCGGGATTTCCTTTGACGTTTGCTAGGTTTCGTTGTTTCCTTTCTTGGATCATCAGGTGCTTTTAACTCAATATATGGCTGCAAGCATATCATAACACAATATGAAGTAAAAAAATGGCAATATTAAATTATTGAACTTTCTAATATGTAAAAGAATCTCTCAGATCCAGAAAGTATAACATTACCATCGTGAAAATGGCATTTATGTTTAGTTCAAACACATATTTTCTCTATGACTAATTGCTACCTAAAGCCTGTTCCTTAATCCCTTACAATCCTGGATATTAGTATAACCATCAGAAATAAACTGCCAGCCAAAAGCCAGACCTGCTATATTATACTCCTTATAATCTTGTGGTAAACACAGGTGAATAATTGAAGGCTACAAGTCTGGAATCAAATAAAAGTCCACAGTGCGTGTATATATATATGTGTGTGTATGTCGGAGTCACAGTGAAGAGAAATTATTCAATGTAACTGACAGTTTTTTACATTGGATTTATGAGAGAAGTACCTCAAATTTGGTTCGTTTTGAATCCACGTTTAACGCTTATTATGAGGCAGACACATAGAATAATTTTCCAAGAAATTATAGTAGCTAATTTGAAACTTGTCTGGCCTAGGAGGAGGCTAGAAAGGCACAACAGAGGAGACCAAGCTATACGATAGAATCAAAGCCTAAATGGAATGCAATGGAAAGAGGACTTCAAAAAGTATACATTAAAAGGTTAAAAGATTTGGACACTAGGCAGAAGGGGGCTTAAACGCAAACTATTAGTTATGGAAGAAACCTCCACTTCAAACACCTGGCTCATAGACAAATACTCGAGATTTGTAACCGCTCAAGCCCACGCTATTGTTCTTTTTGGGTTTTTCCTTCTAGACTTCTCTTTAAGGTTTTAAAACGTGTCTATTAGGGAGAGATTTCCACACTCTTAGGAAGAACGTGGGATCTCACAAGATTAGTGGTTTACTAGTATATTTGCTCAATCAAAGAAAACTTCAACAGCTCAAGTATTGAATGATGAAAGATAAAAATTTCCCAAGAAAATAACGTTGAAACAAAAGGAATATAAGGCTGAATTTCAAACCTCGTCCCACTTTCTTTGTAGCTCAAGAAGCTCTTGGCAGTATACAAGACACTCAGCATGATACGCAGCAGCTAGTTCTTTTATCAAGGCCTTTCGTTTAATGATACCAATCACTTGAAAAGAAAAGAAAAAAAAGAATGATCAGTTCAATTACAGTTTATAGAACTGGAAGAATTTTAAGAGAAACGTCTCTGGAAACGTCCCCAACAATGTCTTTGTCTACCATTCAATTGGGAATGGAGCCAATTCGTCCATTCCCATAGCTACAATGTATAAAGAAATAAGGGGAAAAACCCCATTGCTCGGGAGTTAAGATCAGAACCACCCAGCCCTAATAAATCCCCAAAAGGCAATCAATAGCAAACAAAACCCAACAGACGAAAAAATTCATCAAACAACGCTAAACAGAAAGCCCACGGAATGAAGAAATCAAGATGAATAAATGAATATTACTTCGACTGGGATCGAACGAAGGCGGAGGCAGTGGCGGAGGTGCAGAATCGACTTCGAGCGGAGGAGGTTGAGATTCAGATTGGGGTTGTTGCGATTCGTCAGCCATGGATGCGTCTCGAACGAAAGGAAAATGAATCGAATCGAAGGGGGAGATGGGAGAGGGCAATAAAAAAGGTCAATCTCCGTAGTGAATCTTCGTAATAGGACTCATATTTGGTATTGCCCAAACGACAGAGACAGGGTCGTCGTCGTCGTCGTCGTCTCCGAGAATTGGAATAGGGTTCGTTCTTTGTTACAGTGCTTCGGAGAAGAAGAGTCAAATTGGGCCGTCAATGGCATCGCTTCCCCTATTTATTTACTTCACCACTCTGATCACTGTCCCCAAAAATCCTCCATCGGTTTCCAGATAAGAGATCCATGAAAGCTGCCGTCTTTGATTCTTTCATTCTCCTTCATCACTTTTTTCCTTTTTTTTTTTTTGTGGAATATTTGGCTGCATTTATCTGCCCACAAACTAAAGATTTAGTCTCGCTAATCTTAAATTTTTATGAATCTTTTCATCAAATTAGGTTCTAATTATGCTTTCTCATAACTTAATTTGTTTATAAATACAATTTACATTGAAAACACAATGTTTAAGATTTTGAATTCATAGATATGATTCATCCATCCACTGATTGATATCCAAAATTGTAGCACATTTGATTGTAATAAGAGTTCAAATCTTTGAATTTTTCCCTTGTGTTTTGTGTAATGGTTTTGGAAACTTGGACAGAATCAAGGCTGACTTCTTGTCTTGCTGGATCAGCTGTTAACATGTTTTGCAGTTGGATATTCATGCTTTCCTGTGCTGTCGTCTTCATGTGATTATCTGTCGTCATTGAATAATTAGAGAGCTTGAATGTACACAACATTTTCCTATCATTCTTCTAAAATACTTATCACATCCACATCTCGTCTGCTACCACTCACTTCAAGTCAATTGTTGTTGTTATGCGTCGTTTGTAACTACGACAAACCCGATTGATTATCAGTCGCGTGCTTGCGTGCTTTTTTTCTTTTTCTTATCACATTGAGTCATTTCTATGTTTCACGGATTGTTTGATCCAAAACTTACTCAAACCTCACCATCGTTTCACAGATTCTAAGAAGCCCACAAGTTGTAAACCTAAACCAGAAGGTCCTTGAGCGGATCCAACGTTAGCTCCAAAATGTTGGTCTCTAACTGAAACGTAAATGCTTGAGCTTGAGAAGATTCGAGTCCAGTTGGCCCGTAAAACTCACTCGGATAAGCAGTATTATTGAACCATACAAAACAACGAGCAATAAAACCAAAAACGGAAAAAGCACTTAAACTATAAGACAAGTAAGCTTTTCCAGACCATACATGTGCACGGCAAACCCATACAAACGGTTTCGTTGAGATATGCCAAATTCCACCCAGTAAAATAATGGTACCAATGGTACCAGAGGAAGGAACTTTAATTTTCCCCAACTTTTCACCAACAAACTTCTAATGTTCCATCGCTTTCGTTACAACCAATTTTAGAAATAATCAAATAATGTCCGGTTGAGATTTAAATCTTTTTTAATGAGAATTTTTTAAAAAAAAGATACTTTGAAATAATGTGTTTGCTTTATACGTTAAAACAAACTTATAAATCCTAAAAACTAATTTATAAAGTTATAGAAAATTATGAAAAATCAAATAAAAATTAATTAATAATGGATGTGCATTTTATTTTATTTTATTAGTTTAACACAATCGGTTAAAACTGATCGATAATCATAAGCTGCACGTTTTCCTTTTCTGGAAAAAAAATCAAAATTAAAGGCGAACCAATAATTCAATACAGATATTTTATATTCTATTGGGATCCTCCAAACCTCCATAAATTTTGTTGTTCAATTAGGACAGCAATTCTGTTCCTTGAAACCTGTGACACTTGTCAGAAAAATTAACACAAATGTTAGAAGCCAATAGAAAATTTTGTCAACATTAACATACCAGAAAATTAAGAAACGTGGCATATGGATTTGCCAATCATGGTTAAATTTTGAAGAGGGCAAATGCAAAAGCTATTGGTCCCAGCAGATTTTGGGATATACCTCTAAACACCACATGTTAATCTCCTAGAAAGGTCGGGGAAAGAGATCAGACATTCGAAAACTGCAATAAATATCAATAGAAGATGTGTACTAAGCAGCACCAACATAGCCAAAAATATTGATTTCAAGTATCCCCCCTCGGCACAGGACTTTCATTCAATTCTTAGTCTACGCAGATTCTCATAAATATCACCCAAAGGCTTGCATTCACGCTCAACCCAACCAATCTGACCTCCTAGAGCATTAGTTTTCTCAACCATCATCCTTCAAAAGTAATGGCAAATTCCCGTATAGCAAGGTTCGTTACCGAGGTGGCGCCACCACAGATTATCAGTGTCATGAGACGCCGAACGTCAAAAGTGTTGGATACCATCAGTGAAGAGGAGAGAGATGGCAGCAAGAATGAGTATCCTGCTTCTCCAAGAAGCCTACCATCATCAACAACCCCTGCGCCTATGGTTGTTAGTGCCAATTCTATGTACTTCGTCAGAAACATAAAT